AGAAACCCAAGGTGGGTGTCGAGGAACCCATTTGCACAGACCGTGGCTATTTGTGCCGAGACTGTGGCAAGAACTGCTCTACACTTCAAGGCCTGACGATACACAAACGCATTCATACTGGCGAGAAGCCGTGCGTCTGCGAAGACTGCGGCCGTGGATTTCATGATATGGGGAGTCTGCGGAATCACAAAGTCATACATACAGGAATCCGGCCATACAAGTGTCCCGAATGTGGTAAAGCGTTCGCAAGGATGGCCCACCTCAGATGTCATCTGCGAACCCACACGGGTGAAAGGCCGTACCCTTGCCCCCAGTGCGGGATGAGATTCAGCCACCGATCGACGCTTCGCATCCACCAACAAATTCACTCCAAGGAAAAACCATTTTCATGCCCAGACTGTGGCAAAATGTTCTCCGCTCTGAGGTATGTGAAGGTCCACCAAAGAGCGCACAACTCAGAGCGAATGCTGCAGTGTAGAGAATGTACAAAGACGTTTTCACGGGAGGACGTGCTAAAGAAACACCTTCGCATTCACTCGGGCGAGCGGCCGTACCAGTGCAACGTCTGCAACAAACGTTTCGTCCGCATCTCGCACCTGAAAATCCACATGCGAACCCACACCGGCGAGAAACCGTACTGCTGCGAGCAGTGCGGCTCCAGCTACGCTCAATCTGGCGATTTGACCAAACACATGAGGAGGCACACGGGGGAAAAACCCTTCGCCTGTTCTGACTGCGACCGCCGCTTCAACAACTCTGGCGACCTGAGCAAGCACAGGCGCAGTCACACGGGCCACAGGCCCTACAAGTGTACGGAGTGCGGGAAGAGTTTTCTCATGCCCCAGCACCTGAAGTTACACAAACTAACACACACGGGCGAGAGGCCGTACAGCTGCCCACGGTGTCTCCGCACCTTCACTCGCTCGCACCATCTTTCTCAACACATGGAAAAGCACATATAAGGATGGATAGCTGCACTACTTCTGTCTAATCTCAGTTTCATTGAGGAAAATGAGTTGGGAGCTCATCGATGAATTGGTTATCAGTTTACTTCTTAAAAGTTACTGAATCCAGATGCATAGTCTTCCTTTCTGGACTGCCCTTAAAGTTTTAACATTATAGCTATTTTGCATGCTCTACTCCATTGGAGATATCGATCGAATAGAATTAATGCCTTACAATTATTTTTGTTAATATGGGTAGTAAATCTGGCAAATGAACTGTGCTTTAAAGTGTCTATTTAAGGTACAGGCGTCATTAGCATAAAGTAATAATTTAAAGTTCATATTTAACCATTTAAAAACACTGTTAGTTCACAAGAATAAATGAAGATGTGAGTTTTACTTCTGCTGTGGCTTAATAATATTCTATGATTATTATTATTTTAATATTAATCTGTGAGCTGTATGATGGAAGCATTCAAGGGCTGCATCATCTATAATTTGAGGTCTTTCTCTTTGCTGTACAAAAGGCATCTGCAAATATGAATAAAAGATGAATGTGAGGCAAAATTACAGAATTTTTATTTCTGTTTGAACACATGTACTCTGTGTAGTGGTGATTTTTAGAGTTCCATTAATTCAATTTTGTGTTAATATGAAACGAAGTATACTATTGATTCATTTTTAATCATATTTTCAGATGCCTTGTGTGCAACAAAGCTATTTTGTATTTGCTATCCTACTGCTTTATGGAGGGCACTGTAAATCTGTTGAATTGCGTGTTGAATTTTCACCAAGTAAATACTGTAATGGGTTGGTTATTTTTCAGTTCATTGCTGTAGTTGATCCATTTAATGTCACTGTTCAATGCCAAAGTATTCTGAGAGTAAGATAATTGTATTATAATTGTGTCTAGTTAAGATGAAATAATTGTACATGTATGCTTTGAAGCACTGGTATTCCTGATGTAATATAAAAAATTAGTATGAAGGGTTAAGATATAAGTTCATAAGGTCACTGTTTATTTTGAAATAGATGATGAAATAGATCAAATGAGTTGCGCTAAATAAAACTTGACGCAGTGGTTTCGTCATTGTATTGGCTTGAACTGTGCATCTGAAACTGTATTCTTATCTTAAAACAGTAAATACAATATGCAAACCATGGCCATTTTGTCTAAACCATTGTCTTTTTGTTTTTCCTTCTCAGCTTGTGCACAGGCAACCAAAGCATCGTTGCAGTCTGTGCAAATACTCAAAGCCAATAGATGGATCACTTGGTCAAAGGGCCCAAACAGGTCTGCTTCAGTCAATGTTGGGGGAATAGCCCTATTATTTTTATGTCTGCGATTACGAGGACAGCAGCGTGACTGGTGCACCGACACAGATAACAAAGATGTATTTAGGGCTAAATAATATTGAGTCTACCTTTGTTTAAAGCTGGAATCAATACTTCTTAAAGCATGTCCATTTTTCATTTAGCAAGCCTCTTGTCTGAGAAGGAGGGTCAGGGAGATGTATGGAAGGGAGTGTTTTTTAATTCTCTCTGTTGCTGTAGTAATAATAATTGTCAGAACAAGCATGGCTTCTAAAGATTGGGTGATAGGGAGGTGAGCCAGATGCACAAAATTAATAGGTTTTGAAAATTGAGACGGATTACATGACAGGGTTTTTTTTTCCCCTCACATGATTTTCTTGTTTTACAGGGTACGGACGGAAATGACCATTGGAGACATAGTAACATAGGTAAACCTTTTCAGTTTTTGAGTATATGCTTTACAAACACTACTTCTGTATTTCACTAGCCATGTCAGTCACTCTCTAAAGAATGTAAATGTTTAGAAATTGCCACAAACGTTACAATTTGGTAGCAGTTCCTCCTTTGGGGCACCAGGGGGAAACAGATATCTGTCAAAGTGTGCTTTTGGGAATTAGGATGCGCTTTGGTGCCATCTGTCTCTCTCCTGTGATTCTCACTCTTCCCACAGTGAGGCAACCTGCTGGGTTACTTCACACAAACAAGTGAAAAAGTATAACAGCTTCTAATATGTAACATGTATTTCTGTTTGCGTTACTCCCTCGTCTCCGTGTCAAATTATTATCATAAAATCATACTTTTTCACCCAGAACTCGTTTGTGCATTCCGCTGCGTTGCTTTTACATATTTTTTTCTGTGTATTCTTTAGGCACACCAACGATATTACCGTTCGTTTCTTGCTAAGTTTTTAGCCTTTTCGGGAACCAGGGCTTAAAATGCGTCACAGGACTCTGCGTTCTTGATTTCTGTTGCGCTAGGTCCCGCGTTTTTTAACGCAAGAACGCTGTTCGTGAGAAAGGTAGTGGAATACACTACACGACTTTTAAAATCTGAACAGATTTTAAAACACTAGTCGTCACACACTTGCCAACTTTGTAAATGGTTACAGAAAAACTCAACATCATACACTAAACGACTGAGGATCATACACTACTAGACTTTCAAGTCGTTTCAAACACACACAAAAAACTTTGAAACATGTGCCTCATTGCGGAAACGCGTCACAAATGAAAATATGTGTTCTAAAATTGCCTCAAACATGATATGCTCTGACTGGATGGAATCAGGATGGTCTGAAGCTAAAAAAAAAAAAAAGTAGAGAGAGTTGGTACCCATCATACACTAACGATTTTCTGTGAACTGCGACTGCTCAAAATCTGCAGACTGGTGTTGACTTTCGGCAACTAGCGTTGACACCAACAGACAAATTGGGGCAAAAATCTATGTAGAAGTCATGTAGTGTATTCCAGCCTTTAGTTTACTACATAGCTACTATGCTAACAAATGTGTTGACTTGTTTTCTGAGATCATAGTTTGATCTTTGACCTGTGATTTGACATGTGTTTTTTTGTAAAATGATCCATCAACGGTCAGTGCTGAAACTCTAATACCCTTATTTACAGGCAGTTTTCTGACTGACCATCTCTAGAATACTCTAAAATTGAATTACTTCAATGTTGAATTAAATAAGAGCCCTCTTGCACATTTTTCCCCCATCTCCAATTTTTTATATGTAATTCCAGCAATCCAATTTTCTCCATATTTTCTCTCAATACTCTTGTCAATTTGTTGAAGGAACACATTGTTGGCTTTGGTGTGCCCGTCATTAGCATAAAGTAATAATTTAAAGTTCATATTTAACCATTTAAAAACACTGTTAGTTCACAAGAATAAATGAAGATGTGAGTTTTACTTCTGCTGTGGCTTAATAATATTCTATGATTATTATTATTTTAATATTAATCTGTGAGCTGTATGATGGAAGCATTCAAGGGCTGCATCATCTATAATTTGAGGTCTTTCTCTTTGCTGTACAAAAGGCATCTGCAAATATGAATAAAAGATGAATGTGAGGCAAAATTACAGAATTTTTATTTCTGTTTGAACACATGTACTCTGTGTAGTGGTGATTTTTAGAGTTCCATTAATTCAATTTTGTGTTAATATGAAACGAAGTATACTATTGATTCATTTTTAATCATATTTTCAGATGCCTTGTGTGCAACAAAGCTATTTTGTATTTGCTATCCTACTGCTTTATGGAGGGCACTGTAAATCTGTTGAATTGCGTGTTGAATTTTCACCAAGTAAATACTGTAATGGGTTGGTTATTTTTCAGTTCATTGCTGTAGTTGATCCATTTAATGTCACTGTTCAATGCCAAAGTATTCTGAGAGTAAGATAATTGTATTATAATTGTGTCTAGTTAAGATGAAATAATTGTACATGTATGCTTTGAAGCACTGGTATTCCTGATGTAATATAAAAAATTAGTATGAAGGGTTAAGATATAAGTTCATAAGGTCACTGTTTATTTTGAAATAGATGATGAAATAGATCAAATGAGTTGCGCTAAATAAAACTTGACGCAGTGGTTTCGTCATTGTATTGGCTTGAACTGTGCATCTGAAACTGTATTCTTCTTATCTTAAAACAGTAAATACAGTATGCAAACCATGGCCATTTTGTCTAAAGCATTGTCTTTTTGTCTTTCCTTCTCAGCTTGTGCACAGACAACCAAAGCATCGTTGCAGTCTGTGCAAATACTCAAAGCCAATAGATGGATCACTTGGTCAAAGGGCCCAAACAGGTCTGCTTCAGTCAATGTTGGGGGAATAGCCCTATTATTTTTATGTCTGCGATTACGAGGACAGCACCGTTGCTGGTGCACTGACACAGATAACAAAGATGTATTTAGGGCTAAATAATATTGAGTCTACCTTTGTTTAAAGCTGGAATCAATACTTCTTAAAGCATGTCCATTTTTCATTTAGCAAGCCTCTTGTCTGAGAAGGAGGGTCAGGGAGATGTATGGAAGGGAGTGTTTTTTAATTCTCTCTGTTGCTGTAGTAATAATAATTGTCAGAACAAGCATGGCTTCTAAAGATTGGGTGATAGGGAGGTGAGCCAGATGCACAAAATTAATAGGTTTTGAAAATTGAGACGGATTACATGACAGGGTTTTTTTTTCCCCTCACATGATTTTCTTGTTTTACAGGGTACGGACGGAAATGACCATTGGAGACATAGTAACATAGGTAAACCTTTTCAGTTTTTGAGTATATGCTTTACAAACACTACTTCTGTATTTCACTAGCCATGTCAGTCACTCTCTAAAGAATGTAAATGTTTAGAAATTGCCACAAACGTTACAATTTGGTAGCAGTTCCTCCTTTGGGGCACCAGGGGGAAACAGATATCTGTCAAAGTGTGCTTTTGGGAATTAGGATGCGCTTTGGTGCCATCTGTCTCTCTCCTGTGATTCTCACTCTTCCCACAGTGAGGCAACCTGCTGGGTTACTTCACACAAACAAGTGAAAAAGTATAACAGCTTCTAATATGTAACATGTATTTCTGTTTGCGTTACTCCCTCGTCTCCGTGTCAAATTATTATCATAAAATCATACTTTTTCACCCAGAACTCGTTTGTGCATTCCGCTGCGTTGCTTTTACATATTTTTTTCTGTGTATTCTTTAGGCACACCAACGATATTACCGTTCGTTTCTTGCTAAGTTTTTAGCCTTTTCGGGAACCAGGGCTTAAAATGCGTCACAGGACTCTGCGTTCTTGATTTCTGTTGCGCTAGGTCCCGCGTTTTTTAACGCAAGAACGCTGTTCGTGAGAAAGGTAGTGGAATACACTACACGACTTTTAAAATCTGAACAGATTTTAAAACACTAGTCGTCACACACTTGCCAACTTTGTAAATGGTTACAGAAAAACTCAACATCATACACTAAACGACTGAGGATCATACACTACTAGACTTTCAAGTCGTTTCAAACACACACAAAAAACTTTGAAACATGTGCCTCATTGCGGAAACGCGTCACAAATGAAAATATGTGTTCTAAAATTGCCTCAAACATGATATGCTCTGACTGGATGGAATCAGGATGGTCTGAAGCTAAAAAAAAAAAAAAGTAGAGAGAGTTGGTACCCATCATACACTAACGATTTTCTGTGAACTGCGACTGCTCAAAATCTGCAGACTGGTGTTGACTTTCGGCAACTAGCGTTGACACCAACAGACAAATTGGGGCAAAAATCTATGTAGAAGTCATGTAGTGTATTCCAGCCTTTAGTTTACTACATAGCTACTATGCTAACAAATGTGTTGACTTGTTTTCTGAGATCATAGTTTGATCTTTGACCTGTGATTTGACATGTGTTTTTTTGTAAAATGATCCATCAACGGTCAGTGCTGAAACTCTAATACCCTTATTTACAGGCAGTTTTCTGACTGACCATCTCTAGAATACTCTAAAATTGAATTACTTCAATGTTGAATTAAATAAGAGCCCTCTTGCACATTTTTCCCCCATCTCCAATTTTTTATATGTAATTCCAGCAATCCAATTTTCTCCATATTTTCTCTCAATACTCTTGTCAATTTGTTGAAGGAACACATTGTTGGCTTTGGTGTGCCAGTGTCACAGTGTCGTCTCGCTGCAGTGGTTTTGGCGCTTGTTGGCCTCAGAGGTCAGTGTGTGGGAAGAGCCGCCGGCTTTCGGGGTCTTCAGGGGGCTTTAGGGCGGCTGCGTCTGTGTCCCTTTGGGCTCAGCCAAGCCCAAATCCACTTCTCTCATTCATGAAAGGGTTACAACAGAGGTCAAATCACCACTTTCCACTCCCTGCGAATAACACAAGCCGTGCGTGGGGATGGTTTATGTAGGCGTAGATGAAACTGTGTATTTTAGGTGTTTTTTTGGTCATGGTACTTTCTTGGCACGTATTAACTGCCTGAAAGCTCAGGCGCACAAAAGACAGTGAAAAGATGCTGTGCGTTTTGCTTAGGGGAGGATGGTTAGCACAGAAAACGAGTAGGGTCGGTGCTGTCGAACTCGAAATGAGGAGCTTCTCATTTTCGATTAGCGTCACGGCACACACAATTGCCATCTTTTTATATGTTGTGCGGCTCCCAGCACTGGTGCTTCTCATATAGCCCCAAATCTACAATCCACAACTGCTCCTTTCTTCTCCTCCCCAGTCCACCCTTATGTCCTAACCTTTGGCTCTGGGTGTCTGTTTAGCACAGGGATAGAGATGTGGAGGGTGAGGGAGACTGACAGTGTGCGCTCCCCTACTCAGTAAATATGAACTGCACCCAACAGACAGCCTCATTTATCACAAGGGAAAGAGCGCGGGAGGGAAGGAGAGAGAGAGGGAAAAGGGATAACCGGCTGGGACGATGTGGCCTCAGCAAGCAGGAAGCGAGTGCGGGGATGAGAGACACGAGAGTAAGGAGGGGAAGACAAGAATAACACAACAACTCAAGCGAGCGCGGGAGGAGAAAGACGACAAGCAGACGTGATGTTTAGAGGAGTCAAATAGTGGGATCAAAAGAATGTAGTTAGAAGAGAGGAGGTGTGGAAAAGACACAGGCCTGCTGAAATACTGTGAGTGAAGAAGAGAGAGCAGAGACCTGACAGTGTGACCAGATGAAGTGCTTAAAATAAAAAAAACGTTTGTGATAATTCTGTAGGTGTGAGCAGATCATAAGAGAATAAGGTAAAGTGAGACCGAAAGGAACGACGGTAGCTGTGCCTAGGGTCGGTGTAATGAATAAATCTAATTTTGATCTGCAGTGAATGAACTTATTAGCGGATCACAACCTGTAATCTGGTGTGGATCCTGACAACTCTACTCCAGTTGATAAGGCTTTAATCCTCAGTGCTGAACACAGGTACTGACCACAGAGACCAAAGGTGACTGAGCTTAAGTTGCTGACTTCAGAGTCATTATCGTATGTGCTCAGTCAGACACTACCGCTTGCTTTCGCAATTATAGCACTAAAGGTAAAAGTTCAAAATAGCTGATGATCATTTCTATGTGCCTTGCTGTATTAAGTGTCATATACATACTGAAGCTGCATGCTCTATTTTTTCAGAAGTTTTTTTTTTAATATATAATGGGCCCAAATTTTGCTTCAATCTAATATAATTTCCCACTCATTACTAGACACATTATCTATCTATCTATCTATCTGTCTATCTATCTGTCTGTCTGTCTGTCCTCCATCTGTCTGTCTGTCTGTCCTCCGTCCATCTATCTATCTATCTGTCTGTCTGTCTGTCTGTCTACAGTCAAACCAAAATTTATTCAGACACCTTCAACATTTCTCAAATTATCACAGTTTATTCGCTATAGTTTAGAAAATGGTAATAAAATATGAAAATAACTCCGTTAAACTGTGTCGGAACAAATTAGTCTTGATAATGTCAGATAACTTTGCTAGATACGTATGTAATGAATTAGGTTGAATAGCTGTCAGCTGTTTAAATTTAAGTACACAATTAGATAATACCAATTTAGGTCAACCAATTACCAAGCAATGCTTAATTTTGTTCACTCTGTTGTGTAAAAAGTTCACATTAGCAATTAAAGAAAAACACTTAAGCAAAACATGGTCAGGTCAAAGTGTCTGAATAATTTTTGGTCCCAAATTTTTATCAATTTTACTTTTTAGTTCACTGTATGAAGAATTTTTTGGGTATAATATGTCACAGTTTATTTTGCTATCCTCACTTACATAAATGAACTATAATGTCCTGCACCCACTAGTAAAAATATCAAAAATTATATCTGGTGTCTGAATAATTTTTAGTTTGACTGTATCTATCTACACAATTTAATGTGTTTCAATACACTTGCTAAAACGCTGCACAAGTAAATGTATTAATGGTAATTAATATTTTAGTGTGGTTCATCACCAGCTGCTTTATAGATTTCTGCATTAAAAAAATCAATATTTATTTTATGAAGCAGCAAACTTATCTGTATTTAAATTTATTGGATCAAAGCCTTCAGTATTTAAAATTATTCAGTGATATTATAAACTAATTTCTGTGGTAATCACAGCCTACATGATATAGTTAATATCCTTGGCAATAAGATCTTTTAAAAGGGTCAGAATACTTGTAATTAAGGGCTCCTTTAATGAACTGCCTGAGTGGACTAATATCACATAATTGGCGCTAATAGCTGCTAACTCAAAGCCAATTGTCTGCCAATAAGAACCTTGTACATTGCCCTCCAGTCTTCGTTATGGTCAGTATCTGACCTCTGCATTCCCAAAGACTGAAGGGCAGATTTTTTCATCTTTGCATTCAACTGTTTTCCCCCTTCATTCTTAAGAAATTATATTTTTACTATCAGAGTGCTACTAATTTAGATCAAAGTTAAGAAACTAAAGTTTTACTAAATAAAATGTTCAAGAAGCACATTACTATTATTTTAATGGCCTTGCAAAGTCAACATTATAAAATTATGTAAACTACATTAATATGGTACTGTATGCATGTTGTTATCATAGACTGTATAATACGTATAAAACGTCACTCGTAGGTTTCCGAAGAGCGTTTTTGAAGCCTAAAGTAGGCGGAGCCGGCCGTCGCCATCTTGGCAGCGCGTCACCGCGTGTCACTCCCAGATAATCGAAAATGGGCAAAGAGGCGGGAGCTGGTTGCTGAAACCACGCCCACCTAGCTCGACGGCGGTGACAGCAGCGGCAATTCACCTGTCACTCAAGTGGCCACGCCCTTAATTATGCAGAACTTTAAGGCTTAATATAATTTAAACGGATGAGTTATAAAAAAATTCACCCCCCTCACAGTTGTCATGAAGGGCAAAATGAGCTATATAGACCAAAATCATTTTTTGAACCAGGCTGTAAACATGTTTTTTTCTGCTGTAAAGTTAGGCATTTTAACATGGGGAGTCTATGAGACTGACTCCCTCTTGGAGCCAGCCTCTAGCAGCTAGTCCATGAACTGCAGATTTAGTCACTTCCGTGTTGGTTTCACGAGACAGACCTGAAGGTTGCCGCTTGGTCACACAGCATCACACACGGTGAGCTAGAGTGAGCGGCGGCCGACGGTCTTGAGAACGGCGCGGCTGGTGGATTCGACGAAGGAGCGGCCGGCGGGCTTGCAGCAA